GCTCTACCAACTGAGGCAATGACACTTTACAATACAACTTAGTATTATTAATAATAGTAATTATATTTGTTTTATATAGTGCTTTTTGGACACTCAAAGAAGCTTCACAACATGTTAATTTTCTCCATACACAGAGGTGATGAACTACCACTAAAGTCACAGCTGTTCTGGGGCAGTCTGACAGAAGCGAGGCAAGCAGTACATGCCATCAGCCCCTTCGATCTCCTCCAACCATTCACACACACACCAGACTCATTCTAAGCAATGTTGGTGAAGTGTCTTGCCTAAAGATACTTAGTTTGGTACTTTAGAGCTGCAGCCACTCCACTGTCGCACCAGGTCTCCCATCCCAGCACTAACCAGGCCCTGCCCTGCTTCCTATCAGAGGTCTGACAGGATCTGGCTTTCCCATGCAAATAGAGTCACAAAAATGTTTTATAGTTTAGCAGATGTATTTTATTACCTTTTATTTGAATACCGCTTTAGTATGCGTTATTTTCTTCCAATCATCTCCTGTTTTGAAAACTTAATGGTAAGAGCACTTAAAAACATAGTAGCAGCACCTAAAAGGAATTATTTGGCGAGACTGATTTGAGCTATGTGGAAAAATAGAGGTCACAACTCTTCAAATATGTCCTTAAAGTTCAGTGCACTCCAGGAGACGAGAGAACTTTGCCTTTAGTTATTCAGAAAGCTTCTTAATCTGGTCGATTCCCACTAGTGAGATCTTATCAAAGCAATTCCGTATTTACTGTGGTCATTTCGACAGAATTGGGACAACAGCCTTCTTTTATTATCCTTTCAGAACAATATGCAGATGCATATTTAATAGCTGCAGCACTATTGTTTGAAAAATAGAAGTAGAAGTAGAAGAGATAGAAGAGAAACTTGGATGTGTTAAGGATAGAAATACTTTAGCCCTATCTCAATATTATATTATCAATCCAGAGTATCATCAATATGAAGATGGCATTTTGGGAGTCTGAAAAACACATTTTTAAAGCAAGTTGTGGAGTGGAAAGATCTTAAGACTGTAAAGTGATCCCTCATTTATCATGGGGCTATGTTCTAAAAATAACCCGCAATTAGCATAATCCACAAAGCAGCAGCTGTGTGTTTTAAGTCTTTAATACCCCATACCACACATTTCATAGAGTTTTCAAACCACCTGAACTCATGACTGCTAAAGTGCGATCGTGAAGATATCAAATGTTGGTTGTAGGTCTGAGCTCTGCTGCAGCTGTCAAAAGCCAAGCACACAGTAAAACACAGCTGCAGTAGAGGAGATGATGCATACTGTATGATGTTGGAGTATAGGGTGAAACAGCGAGGCCATGAACTGTGAGTTATAGCAAGGGACTAAACACGCAGCTCAATGGTTACTGTCTCTCTACTAGGATTCTGAGACCGTTACCTTTAGAACATGACAACAACAATGTCTAGAAAGGCCGATTAATGCTATTACAGCTAAATTTACTTTTGATCTATTTGGGCGGCATGGTGGACAGCAATCTTGCTTCTCAGCAAGAAGGTTCTGGGTTCAAATCCCGGTCGGAACAGGGCCTTTCTGAGTGGAGTTTGCATGTTCTCCCCGTCTCTGCGTAGGTTTACTCCAGGTATTCCGGTTTCCCCTAACACTAAAAAAAATATATACAATAGGTCTGGCATCCGCCTCCTGTACTGGCGACTCCGCTCCCATCTCTGTGTGGAGTAAGAGACAAATGCTCAAATATAACAAATGTAAACCGCTTTGTGACTCTGGTCTGTGAAAGGCGGTATATAAATAAAGATTACTTACTTACTTACAAACCTCTGTGCAAGTGGGCATGTTCGTTCAATCTATTTCTAAGATCCTGCCACATGCAAAATAGGCTATCACGTTCTGAGGATATGAAAACGTACATTTTTTAAACCAAGTTCTCGGGTGGAAAGATTTCAACACTCCTCATTTTCTGCTGGTTACTGTCTCTGCTCGGATTCTAAGAAGGTTACATCATCACCCCGTCTCATGATTGACTGAAAAAATCTCTTTTTTGTCTCTTTACAAATTTCTGCACAAGTGAGCATGGCTATTAAACCCCTTCACAAAAATCTGGTCTTGATCCTCATTGCATCACAGCGCCACCAACAGGGCTCGCATAGTTTCAGGCTTAATGACTTCATTCAAACAATTACAAAAACTAGAAGCGTTTTGACTTTGTGTGAATGCAGCCTTATCTTTGAGCTGGTTTTGTTGACAGCTACAGGAGCAGGTGTGAGGAGAGGTAACATATGCTAGTGAGGTTTGTGTTCAGCCTGACATTTGGAACAGATGGAACCTCTCGACCGTGCTGCAACCATGAATTTCCCATATGAGATCGTTTAGAAATGGCTTCATGTTAAAAGTTGAAACTCAGGAATTTTCATCAACTCACTTTTGTTAATGATAGTGACTTTTTTTACCCTGATAAGTAAGTTTTTGTTAAACACAGAATTTTAACAGTCTCTCCTGCACACAACCAAGCAAGTAATTGGATGCGACCAGACCGCAGACAAAAGAAAAAAGATAACACAAAAATATGTATATTGACATAACTGCATCCTACTTGTTGAGTCAAATTGTACATTGAACGAGATATACACACACGTATGACCAATTCATTGTATCGTTATATGGCCCTGAATCAAAACAGCAGAAATCTCGGAGGAATTAGTATCAAGAACAGTTTGAATCCTGGAAATATATTAGTTACAAACACATAGGTCCATAGGGAGCGGGATGACCAATGCTCATTAATGTTGACAAATGTCCTTAAATGTCCCAAATAATCACAGGAGCAGCCACATGAAAGAGGTTGGATTCAGGGTTTCATCCAAAATGGTTACAAATACAAGTTAAGAGTTATTTGCATAATCCATCCATCCATTTTCTTCCTCTTCATCCGAAGCTGGGCGGCCGCTGTCCAAGCAGAGACATTCCTAGCCATACTAAAGTTAAAACTAGTCCTTAAAACAATATGTGGAAGTCAGTAATTTTCAACTTGATTTTTGGTTTTCAGTTTTGGTAATGAGTAGTTCAAAGAAAACATTTTTATTGGCAACACGGCAGATGCTGAGGAGAACTGCTGTATTATGAATGGGTAGAAAACCATGTCAAGGCCGCAAAACTCTGGTTGTGCGTCGTGTGACAACAATAAAACTTCTGCTATATTGTCTTCTGCTGAGACACGATCCCAGAACTCCGCATCTTTTGTCATTTTCTTCAGTTGGTGGAGAATATGGACATGTCTGAACAGCTGAACATCTGATCAATATGACTTACCCAGTACTGTACATAACAAACATAGTCAGGATGATATGGATTATTCTCCTTTATAACATATATTTCTGTGACACAACTCAAGAAGAATGCATCCAATTCAATCTAATCTCCATTATCAAGAATGTTGAGAAAATTGTAACACTAAGGATGCTTAAAGAAAGCCATCAATTTGTCGTCAATGTATTCCCAATAACGTAAAAGACCTGCCCTTTACATGCACTGAACAAGACTAGGTTATGTTTTTCTCTATATTGTTTTGTATCCGTTTATTTTTCTGTATCTATTATAAAATATTGATATGTGTTTCTGTTATGTTTTGTATCTTTTTTTCCCGCTGTATTTCTTTTTTATTTTTTGTACTATTTTACTGCCTACTTCTTTCCTGCACTTTGGAGACTCTTTGGTCTTGAGTAAAGTGTATTTTCCTCAAAATTGAAGCATTACCAATTATTAAAAACAACACCAGTTATTTTACAGTGGGGCGACAGTAGCTCAGTTGGTAGCCCTGGTCTTTGGACCCAATGGTCGTAGGTTCGAGCCCACCTTACCTGGGCCCGACGCCTACATTGCCTGAAGCCCCAGCTGAAAGACCAAGGCCATCTTGTTGATGACAGAGAAGCCATCTTCCCGTGGACCCACCACCTGCTGGAGGGTCAGCGAGGGACTGGTGCAATGAGACATGGGTGGCAGCTCTGATTGCCACCCCCGCCAAGGCCAGAAATGGATTAATAAAGGGGTAGAAAATGACACGATATGACAGTTATTTTATGTAAATCGTTATCTAATATATTACGTCCAAAGCTGGGTGGCTGTCACGATTCCTGAACCATCATGTAACAGAGGCTACAGTTAACAGCCTGCGCACTATGTCTGATTGATCTGTGACTAATTTTCTTGCCCGCTGCCCACAACACAGATTCCACGTGGTCATACTTGTCAATACCACTGACCTGAAAACCCAACTGCGTTCCAATAGCATCCTCGTCAATACTCAAATTCATTATCAGTCATGCGCAACGAGCATTGGTCATACACTGGGCGGATCTATAATGCTTGTCTTAAAAAACTCCAATTGAATGACCGTGAAAAGGGTTGGTGCACGTCCAAATGACTATCAGGCATTTAGCTCTTTAGGGCTCCATTGTGTGTTCAGCCTGCGTGGCGAAACTGTGTCACGCTGTTAGCAGTGCGGACATCTAGGGCAGACTGTAGAGATTGGAAAACATTTGGATCAACTGGGCCTGACATGGTTCATTTGTGCGTGACTATTTCGGACGATGGTCTCAGACTCGAATCGGTGCAAGAGGGATCGTCAAAGTCATCACGGAATCGACGAAGAAGTCAAATTGATATGGCAACACTACGCCGTAAACCAAAACCAAAAAGTGCTGCATCAAGGCAAGACCGAAATTCTTGCTCTTCCACAGCATCTTGTCCTGTCTTCTCAGGATCTTACAGCGACCAAGAAGAAGACCCACCCTTACGCCGCCAATCTTCACCTATTCTCAAAGGTTCTGTCACGAGCTTGCATACCTTAATCTCCAAAACTCCCAAGAACTCTCTCTCAAGTCTGCAAGGCTCAGGTTCAAGTCTTCAAGGATCTTTGCCAAGTTTGCAAAATGCTATACACAGCTTCCAAGGTTCCTTACCCAGCCTAAGAGGAGCAATTTCACGTTTGAAAAGGCGGTCGCTTGGAAGTATGGACAATGGGAGCAGTGTGAGCAGTGTGGGCAGTGTGAGTGACGGCAGAGCTAGCCCCAGCATCAAGAGTGGAAATGGCAGTTCGAGTGATGATGATGCCAGCTGGGATACAAACAGTTGGAGTTCAGGAGCAACATGCTTATTGAGGACACCAGCCAAAAAATATGTGGAAACAACAAAGGGATGTGATGAAAAAGAGTGCTCACATGAGTCGTCAAAAGTTGAGCCTGAGGTTATTTACCAGAATCTAATATTTCCTCAACCAGTTTCTAAATCCGACATCAAGGTCAATACCACCAAAACTGTGCCAGTTCTGCCAAGGAAAGAAACTCAGTCCTCTTTCAAAAAGCCACCACCTCTACCAAGAAACAACAAGACCGAAGACAAGCGCAAGTTCTCCCAGTTCTTGAACGAAGTCACCGGCAGGGTCCTGAAAACCAACGAGACCTCGCCACAACCCATGGCTATCTTTCGTCACCGCTACCCCTCCCCACCGCCTCCTCCTCCCTCAACTCCATGTCAACAGTCTCCTACACCAGGGACAAGTACGTGGTACAACGGCTCAAACCTTCAAACAATCAGGGAGCGTGCATCCAAGGACACAAAAGCCCCAATTCAGCAGTGGAGCAAGACACTTCCCAGCTGTAAGGTCTTGGAGCCTGGGGATGTGATTAGGAAGGTGATGGTTGATGGTCTCTCTCACTCAGAACACAACTTGGAGGCATGTACCAAGATACAAGCACAGCCGTTTACTGGGAGACTCTACCTGGAGACCGACATTGATAGAGTGAGGCAACTTGACGAATTGGCTGCTAACGGTACTCTCGGGAATGTGCAGAATGAGATAGAGTTGGAAAAGGACATGGAAAGATTAAACGGAAACAGAATTCCGTGGCTGGAAAATGAGAATTGTGCTGGGAAGGAAAGAGAGATGAGGAGGGATAGTGAATGGGATCGAGAGAAGAATGGACGTGTCGATAGAGGAAGAGGCGCAACTAGGAAGATGGTGCCCAATAGTTACGAATCACTCCTGTCACAAACCAGTGCACGCAGAAACCCAAGACCCATTTTGAATTGGTCAGATGGAATGCCCCAAATGTCTTGTAGATCCACATCCCTGCCCCGACCTGCAAATGTAACCGTGAGTATACCATTTGTGTACAGAAGACCGGTTATGTAGGTGTAGGTCTTGCATTTGTAATAGCTCAACCAGGATTTGAAATAGAATGAAGCTAATCCAGACATGTTTCTTTTATCACTCAAAACCCCTGCAGAAAAGTATGCATCTTGACAGGTGTGATGACCTTTTATCAGAAGGTAATCAAGTACTTACTATGTGACATCCCACATAGTTGCTCCTGATTATAATCATGGAACCCCCCCTTTCTTTTTAATGAGAGTTATAGATTATGAAAGGAGGCAGTGGAGTCAAAACAATATGTGTACTTTATTAAATGTGTGGGTAGAAGTTGGGTGCTGATGGGACCAGGATGGCCAGGGTTATCTCTGCTTGCAGCTTTAATTGTATTAATTTTGTTTTTTCTTTTCCGTCACATTTAGTACATTATTCCGTAACCTGCAGTTCAAAGTGATCTTTACTGAAGCTGTGTTTTCATCTGCAGGATTAAAAGACTGTTCTCAGAGGAGTTGTGGGGAAAGGTCTATATTCTGATTTGAATGTATTAGCATTTTTGTGCCTTACAGAGAGACAGAGCAAAGAGAGTCTGCTGGTCCCATTGGAATGTAACATTAAAAATACATCCTATCTTATTTACTGCTTATTTACTCACAGCCTGGAGTAATGGAGAAAGATTGCTAAGCTCTCAGACTTATTCCTCGGTGCTTCTGTGCAGCCTGTGTGAAGGTAGCTAATACATTCATAATTTACACTCCTCTTTTTAGGCTGTTGAGCTGGAGGCTTAGAGCAGCTCTGCACTGATCTCCTGTACTGCTGTAGCACAGGTGCTGGACCGTCACTGCTCATAATAACACCGTATTAATCATATTCATTTGACTTTGATTTGATCAGATCATTTTGCAACAATCAGGAATGAAGGAATTCAACAGTCAGAAACAGACTCAACTCAATCAGTCATTCAAACATTTGTTTTATTTAGAAAATCTTTTTTTTTTCTGGATGGAAGCAAACTAAAACAATATTTGTCTCTTTAAGTAACACAACATTCACCTCCTGTGGATAAATCAACATCAATCGGAAGCCCATTGAACTGAATTCTGCCTGTTTTTGGCTATTTGATGAAAGCGTTGATGAGTTCAGGTGAAGAGGTGGACTGCAGCATCGTAACCTGAATCTCTCGGGTTTTGACCATAGACTGGAAATAGTTTTGACATAAAGAAATATAAATTTTTGTTAAAATGAAGAGTGAAAGTTTAATGTTTTTAGTTTGTTATGAATAAACATGTTTGAAGAGGCCTCACACTCTGTGGGTGCTTGGAACAGAGAGAAAGTCAGACAGACTTTCCAGGAATCCTCAGACCTCAGTCACCTCAGCTCTGCCCTCTCCTCCCACAGGTCATATCACCTCAGGTCTGCCCTCTCCTCCCCCAGGTCTGCCCCATCCTTCCCCATGCCGCGTCACCCCAGGTCAGCCCCCTCCTCCCCAAGGACTTGAGGATGTGGACGGGGGATTACTGAGCCTCGTCTCATTCAGTAGCAGTATGAGTCATCCTGCTGTAGAGAAGTCCCTGCAATGTTTGCAACACCCACAGCACACAACAAGTGCATTACAACAGCCATCTACTACTACTACTACTACTACTACTAGTACTACTTGTACCACTGCAACCAAATACTACACTACAACCATATCCCATATCTTCAGCTGGTTACACCGGCACCCAGCCTTAAATCTAAATCTTTTCAAGGTACTACCTATTTTATTTGATCTTATGTGAGTAAATAAGATTGGTCACATAATAGATTATTAATTATAATGTGATACAATTACATTGAGTAATGATATTGTATTTATATAAGAAAATTAACGGCTTTAAGAATACTGGAAACGTCATATTTTCATCAAGTGAATGAGCACAAGTAAAAAATTAAAAAAATTAAAAAAACACACACACAGGCCCAAACATTCTCTGACCCTACAACTCTCTCCCATTACTTACTATATTTGTATGAAGAAACAAATAGCTTTAGGAACACTAGTGACATCCTTGTTTCATTAAATTAAAGAAAAAACACACACACACACACACACAGGCTCAAACACTCTCTGGCCCTACACCCTTCTCCCAGTAGAATTCCCTTGTTTTGACTGCGCTTTGGAAACTGCACATGATACAGTGACAGCCTTTGTACTTTCAGCACCAAACTTCCTCCTAATTCTCCTTATCTTTCACCACACGGGCTCTCCATTCCTTTGGCACTTGGCTTGCTAGTTTTGCCATTCGCAGCAGTTTTCTTTCTTCACTGTTAATCTGTCATTTGGAGCAGGCAGCCCCTCGGAGTGCCTTGGGTGGTGTGGTGGAGGTACTTCTAATGGATATATTTGCTTGCAGTTCTGAAAGCTCGTTAAGCGTCAGATAAGAGGGCCTGGATGGCGACGCTGGTGTCCATAAATCTGCCTGATGAATAAATCTAATGTTGTGTGTGTTGTCCTCTGCAGGGAGCGGATGGGGAGCTGCAGCTTGGAGCCAGGTGAGTCACCCTTCAGTCATACACGTGCCATTATTGCAGCAGTCTGAGCCGCTCTTTAGTCTGCAATGAAAGGTTTGGATTTGGCCCCAAGAAATACATGCATTTTATAGCATTCAGGTAAAATGAATGCACGAACAAACATGTAGATTTTGCAATGACACAGGATCTGGCTCTTTCTTTGTTTTATCAACAGAAACATCCTGATTCACTCCATTATCAGTGGCAAAGACTGCATATATTCAGTAGATCAGGAGCTTGTGTGAGATCTCAGTCGTACAGGGATTATTCAAAACAAAGGAAGGTCCCTCACCTATCATCTGTACTTCAGTGAGCAGGTTTACCAATGTTTTGTTACTTTCTGATGGAGATCAGGAGTGTCAAACTGGTTCCAGAAGGTTTTAATCCCAACCTATAGGTCTTCAGGTTAAGACTGGAGTCACTTGAGGGTGGGGTCTGATTAGCTCCTGCTTGGTTGGAATAAAACCTGCAGCCACACTGACCCTTTGAGGTAGAGAGAGAGAGGTAGTGAGAGGTAGAGAGAGAGGTAGAGATGTAGAGAGAGAGAGAGAGAGAGAGAGGTAGAGAGGTAGAGAGAGAGAGAGAGAGAGAGGTAGAGAGGTAGAGAGGTAGAGAGAGAGAGAGGTAGAGAGGTAGAGAGGTAGAGAGAGAGAGAGAGAGAGAGGTAGAGAGAGAGAGAGAGAGGTAGAGAGGTAGAGAGAGAGAGAGAGAGAGAGAGGTAGAGAGGTAGAGAGAGAGAGAGAGAGAGAGAGAGAGAGGAGAGAGAGAGAGAGAGAGAGAGAGAGAGAGACTCACTACACACAAATTGAGATATATCAAGCTTTTCTTATAAATGGACAGTGGCCATATTCAACATTATTATTACAAAACAGGCATACATCACTTGTTGATGAGTAAATATTGTAAATGGATTTCACTTTAGAGGTAGAGAGAGAGAGGTAGTGAGAGGTAGTGAGAGGTAGAGAGAGAGAGGTAGAGAGAGAGGTAGAGATGTAGAGAGAGAGAGAGAGAGGTAGAGAGGTAGAGAGAGAGAGAGAGAGAGCGGTAGAGAGGTAGAGAGAGAGAGAGAGAGAGAGGTAGAGAGGTAGAGAGGTAGAGAGAGAGAGAGAGAGAGAGAGAGGTAGAGAGGTAGAGAGAGAGAGAGAGAGAGAGAGGTAGAGAGGTAGAGAGGTAGAGAGAGAGAGAGGTAGAGAGGTAGAGAGGTAGAGAGAGAGAGAGAGAGAGAGAGGTAGAGAGGTAGAGAGGTAGAGAGAGAGAGAGAGAGAGAGAGAGAGAGAGAGAGGTAGAGAGGTAGAGAGAGAGAGAGAGAGAGAGACTCACTACACACACAAATTGAGATATATCAAGCTTTTCTTATAAATGGACAGTGGCCATATTCAACATTATTATTTTACAAAACAGCATACATCACTTGTTGATGAGTAAATATTGTAAATGGATTTCACTTTAGTGGGAGGTAGAGAGAGAGAGGTAGTGAGAGGTAGTGAGAGGTAGAGAGAGAGAGGTAGAGAGAGAGGTAGAGATGTAGAGAGAGAGAGAGAGGTAGAGAGGTAGAGAGAGAGAGAGAGAGCAGTAGAGAGGTAGAGAGAGAGAGAGAGAGAGAGAGGTAGAGAGGTAGAGAGGTAGAGAGGTAGAGAGAGAGAGAGAGAGAGAGAGGTAGAGAGGTAGAGAGAGAGAGAGAGAGAGGTAGAGAGTAGAGAGAGAGAGAGGTAGAGAGGTAGAGAGGTAGAGAGGTAGAGAGAGAGAGAGAGAGAGAGAGTAGAGAGGTAGAGAGAGAGAGAGAGAGAGAGAGGTAGAGAGGTAGAGAGAGAGAGAGAGAGAGAGAGACTCACTACACACAAATTGAGATATATCAAGCTTTTCTTATAAATGGACAGTGGCCATATTCAACATTATTATTAAAAAACAGGCATATATCACTTGTTGATGAGTAAATATGTAAATGGATTTCACTTTAGAGGTAGAGAGAGAGAGGTAGTGAGAGGTAGTGAGAGGTAGAGAGAGAGAGGTAGAGATGTAGAGAGAGAGAGAGAGAGGTAGAGAGGTAGAGAGAGAGAGAGAGAGCGGTAGAGAGGTAGAGAGAGAGAGAGAGAGAGAGAGAGAGGTAGAGAGGTAGAGAGAGAGAGAGAGAGAGAGAGAGGTAGAGAGGTAGAGAGAGAGAGAGAGAGAGAGAGGTAGAGAGGTAGAGAGAGATAGAGGTAGAGAGGGTAGAGAGGTAGAGAGAGAGAGAGAGAGAGAGAGAGAGGTAGAGAGAGAGAGAGAGAGAGAGAAGAGAGAGACTCACTACACACAAATTGAGATATATCCAAGCTTTTCTTATAAATGGACAGTGGCCATATTCAACATTATTATTACAAAACAGGCATACATCACTTGTTGATGAGTAAATATTGTAAATGGATTTCACAGAGGTTACAGAAATACATGAACTTCTTAATGATATTTTAATCTCGAACCTCCAAACCACCCTCACTCATTCAGTACATTTCAATGCATTTCTGTATGGCCCATGTCACAACAGCACTAAAGATTCTCTGATGTGTTGTTGTCAAAGCAGAGAATCAAGCAGTTTGAACACAGGAAATGCATTAATAACACATAGGAGTGAAGTCAATAATTCCCTTGACTGACGTGTTCGAGTTGATGCAGAGGCATGACAACAGATCTCCAAGTTTTAACATCTGTATTTAATTATCCTTTACAATCAGATACAGAAATTTCCAACAAAGAGGGCTCCTAAAACTAAGCATGTCCCTCCGGCTCGCCCTCGGCTCAATTCTCCTGTGTCCTCATCAAGCCAGAGCATTATCAGTCCATGTTCAGGAGAGCAGGGGGCGTGTCGTATCAGGTCAAGACTTGGGTCCGGCCTCTTCCTCATGTCCCACTCTGTCTGCCGTACACCTTAAAACAGAATCAATGTCACAACACCACTACCACCTCCCCAAATTTTATTATACTATCTTTGAGATAGGGCAGAAGCCTCTCCCTCCTCCTCTCTGGTCCCCCTCCTTCAGATTAGCAGAATCCCCCCCCCCAAGCAGAATATCCCCAATATCCCCCCCCCTTAGCAGAATCCCCACCCCCCCCTCCCTCCTTCCAAACACGAATCCCAGAATATTCAAATACTCATTCCCATACATCAGCAGAATTCCCCCCAAAATCCCCAATATTAATTCATCAGAAATCAGAAAATCCAATCCCTAGCCAGGAACTCCCCCCACCAAGATTACCTATCCATAAAATTACTCAGATTAACTCACCAACCCATAACTCAGCCCCATGCACTTTGACTAACAAAGGAACAAAGGGGAACACCAGGTCTTTTCTTTAGGAAAAGAACAGTTCAAAAATCAGGTCAGCCAATATTCAACATCTGCATAGTTAAAATATACAACAGTTTTCCCTCCTTTTGAACCTTGAAATTAAACAAATTAGATCACAATCCACAATCGTGCGGTTTATCATCAATACCTATGTGGCTTAGTCCGGCATGAACTATCTGTGAAAGAGTTTTAATACATAAAGAATACAACACACAGCACCACATTCGAAAACATTTCCTTCCAAAACTCTTTATGACCAACCCGCGTGTCATTATGATTCTTCATCATTAATCAAATTGGTATTATCGTTACAGGAGCTAATCTATTTTAGCAGGTTTCTCTGGGGTCAGTCAGTCCCTATACAACGGTATTTTGATTCTCTAATCTGTTTGCTGACAAATCGACAGCTCTTAAAATTCTCAAAAATACCTAAATATCTACTTTTGTGCTATATTCAAATTAACCAAAATGCTTTTAAATGTTTTTGAATCTCTGTTGGTTCTAATCTATCTCATTAATCTAAGCTACATTAATCTAGGCTACACTCATGAACATTATCTACTTTTGAAGTAACTACTTTTGGACATAATATGAAGGAAATGGTCTTTTTACCGTTTGATATTGGCCCTGTCTAAAAATAATCTCTATTTTTGAAAGCATCTATCTATCTATTTTACACTCTATTGTGACTCCAAATCTTGGTTGTAGTTTGAGCCAAAGCATATTCCCAATTTTTTTTGAGTTCTGATTGTAACAATTGCATTGGCAATAGACGATTTTTCATTGGCTGGTTCTTGTTCTGCAAATCACTATTCTATGTATTGTATTTCAGACAATTCCAAAAACAACACAGTCGTTCTCCAATATTAAAAACATGAATCTATTCAATTTGCCTGAAAGGGAGCGGGAGGAAGAGAACTATTTTAAAACCGTTTCTCTACGATTATATGGCTATGAAATTAATTATTTAATAAACAAAAGCACATTCATGGCTTCTGTCCGCTGCTTATAACTGTTTAAAGAGTTGTCCCAAACTTAATATGTGTAAATACATCAGCTGTTTGTAATAAACAATAACATTTAACCTGTTCTCCAATGGAGCAGCTCAGAGGCTGCATCAAGAGCAATGTTATATTTGAGCTATTTTTAGATTTAAAAATTGTGTTAAAGCCTGTCGTTCTATGTCTGCATTTTAATACTACTCTCTATAAACAACCTCTGCACCAGTTCCTACAGATGTGGAAAACAGAAACATCTAAAATCTGACTCCATTTGATTCCTTTTTACTTTAGTTATTAGAACAATTTGACCTTATTGATACTTATTTCCACAATAGAACTATTTTGATTATTCACTAGTCTAACTATTATTACTATTGTTTATTCTGACACCTCTTCCTAGCGACCTTTCAACCTATAGCTCCTCGAATCCAATGACATTATAGCTCCAGACTATTTCATTCTATTCTATTATTGTATGATCTATTATCTTAAAGAGTAGATCTGTTTTGATGTTATAAGCGCTATTATTTCTGATTTGTTTTACACTGACCCCCCTATTATAGATGATTATTTATTTGTTCTTGTAAATATATGTTTTACACTTCTTTCTAATGATTTAGAAGGTTAAGGACCATGACCACCTATGACAATAACATTACTTA